AATTGTGGCATGTGGCCTCCGAATTGCCTCCGAATTACCTGCGAACTGCCTTCGAATCGTGGCACGTGGCCTCCGAATTGCTTTCGAGTTGTAGCAAAAAATTAGAAATAAAAAGGTTAGATCATCGTTTTTATTCCAGCATTACAATATATTCATAGTATGAGAAAAACTGTTTTGGACTCAGTATTAAAGTAACTTCGAGTACAAAGTGTTAATAATCACAGATCGTTGTAGGATGCTCTAGAAATCCGTGTGATCCGATTTATTGGATTGGCAACTAAGTAACTGTCGATTTGTTCAATGAAATAAAAAATTTCTTGTTACTTGGAATGAAGTTTAATGTATTTTCCATTTTGTTCGATGACCTTTTGCCATCTCTCCGACAACTTGAAAATTCCACGCTCGTAGAAAGTCTGATCCTTTTCGGCCAAAAACTGAGTTAAGTGAGATTTTACAGCGTCATCATCATTAAAAGTTTTACCACGAAGGGAGTTGTCCAGGGATCGAAATAAGTGGTAATCCGATGGCGCGAGATCAGGGCTATATGGTGGGTGTAACATCGATTCCCAACCAATATCCATGAATTTTTGCCGAGTGGACAAAGACGTGTGCGGCCTAGCATTGTCCTGCTGGAAAATGACACCTTTACGATCGACCAATTCTGGTCGCTTTTCCTTGACCGCTGCATTCAATTTGTCCAGTTGCTAACATTCACGGATAATAAAAAATAACATAATAATAATAATAATAATAATTTTATAATATAACATTTACTGAGATATCATAAAAATGGGAGTGAGAGACATCTATATAACTGAAATCGGCAATTACTTAGTTGCCAACCCAATAGATCATCGGATACGACAGGTCGACAATTACGGGCCGAGCATCGTTCCAAATTGACACTACGAGAAACGAGGGTCGCGTAAAAATGCGCCTCGTACTGAAAAATTATGTGAGGGCACGCGCGCGCGCTCGTAGATGCACCCGCTCCTGCGACAACGTACATATCTGCATATCAACGTAGACACTGCTTGAGATTCTCCGCGTGGCACGTTGTAGTTACTCGTTGCACTCGGAACTTCATCCGCATTCGCGTGTGCGTCCGACGCGTCGCGACGCCGCCGTAACCCTCCGAGTACGTGTATAGTGGCGGAGACGCGCGTCGAGACGCCTCGAACGAGTCAGGGAACGTGTCCGTGTCCGCGTCCGTGTCCCCCAGGTATCGACTTTCCACCATCACCCACGGACTCGCCCAGCATCCAAACGTCTCCCCTTATTTTTCTATTATTTTTTGTCGTCGATGTTTCCCCAGGATTTCTGCGTCCCTTAGACAGGAAACAGGTCTCCGGTTCCCATGCAAACACTTGCGATCCGATTCCTCGATAACCCTTGACCCATTTATCAGTCCCTCGTGACGATTTCACACAGTTTTCTCTGGCTGCGCGACCTTTCGCCGTGTACGACTATCTCTGGCATATTTTTATGAAGCATTTTGTACCGCCGTATCGAGTCGATACAATGCTAATAAATCAGTGCGACGGATATTTTTGTGGAACTGAAGAATCGTGGGAAGAAAGAGTAGATTAAGAGAAGATCAATCTGCATGTTCTTATTTTTCTTAAATGTTTACTTTCTTTCGGTGTTCCGTTCTTAAATTATTATGGTAAAATATTTTATCCATTTTCATAAACATTGTAGTCTAATTACGCGTCACGTCAATATTTCTAGCAATGATTTTATTTCAATATAAAGCGGAACGATCCACATTTTTATCTATGTTAACGCTTTATCTGCCGGCAGTTTTGTAATAAATTCTTAAAAATCGAAGGTCAACAGTCAATAGTTGCTTAAAAAATTTGAAACTACAACCGATCCGATCTGATCCATGATCCATGATCAATTAATTGGACTACTATAATGTGACAAATTCTTTGGAAGTTGTTACTTAACCCTAGAAAGATAACCATATGACAACGTACGTAAAAGATAACCATACGCTTCAGAGACGCATGCTTTTCTAAGGCGTCAATTTTATACTAACAATGGATATTTATTTAAGTTAATCTAGTCATTTTAAAGGTTTGGCATTATTGTAAAAATAAAATGCATTTCTATTATATTTTTTTATATTTTAAGTAATTTTAAACTTAAATCACTAGACCTCTATGAAAACGGTGCAGTCAGTTGTTTATTTCGCAGGCGCCTCTGCGACGTAGGTTATCTTTCTCGGGTTAAAAGAAAATTATTGAACTTTTCTTAGAGACAGCCAAGTTATTGAAAAGTCTACTAATAGGCTTCCGGAAAATAAAATGTTAAAAATATAGAGTTCTGTTAATGTAAAGAAAATTCTATAAAAATATCTGGAGAGACGCAGCGTTTTACAATGTATTTGATTAATCAGTCGAACAATTTCGACGCGTTGATTGGAAATTATCTTTCTCCAGCCGTTGCATCTGAGATTTTCGTGAATTTCGTAAAATGTTCGTTTTCCTAGCCGAAGCAATTTCGCGCAGGTGCTTTCCTCTTAGTCTTCTCGTGTCAGTCGACCGATGAACTCGTCAATTTTCGGTTCGGGCGCGTGTGAAGCTGTCGACTGGCATACGCGTACCCGACTTTACGAGACTGCGATAGATTGACACTTTCGCGAGGCGACCTTTTTCACGAGGAATATCGCCGATAGACAGCCGAGCTGTTCCCTGGCCCGGAAGACCTTGAAATTTAGCGCGAACTCAGCGCGTTTCGATGCTTCAAGGATTTACGTCCGCGCCCCATTTCCATTCGTCTTCTTTCGCGAACGCGGTTCACTGGTTAATACTAATCCCCGCGTAAAACCCCAATCGGTTTTCTCGTCAAAATTTCGTTCCGCGACGAAACTCGGATAAAATGTAACTTTCACATTATCGCTTCCTTGTGAAATCACAGATTTCTCTTTTTCTTTTTGCTGTTCTCCGCACGTCGTTTCGGAAGCAAAAATTAGACACGATTTTGTTTCCAGTGCTAGCTACAGTAATGTCTCCCTAATCGACGCTCAGATTGTCCACAAAAATGGACAATTTTGGAAAAGGAGAAAGCCTCTTCCGAGTTCCGAGCCGGGACTGAACATGTATCTTGGGAATTGTTCCGGATAAAACGGATACTCTGCTGCACCGCTTAATGCGCTTTCATCTTCCACGAATTTCCCTGTATTCCCCCCCGACCGTCCACGGAGATGGGGAATCGTGGAAATGTTATTTACCGAAGACCTTCAAAAACTTGCGAAGTAGTACCCGATAGAAAGCAGCGAATGAAACGGTCGAAGAAAATTGTTATCCTTCTTTTTAAGCAGAGTCGCCCCAACTTTGGGAAACAGCTGTACTTACCGTAAAGTAGCGAACGATGAAGAAGATCCGCGGTCTACAACGTAAATCTTTCTATCGTATCATCAAATTTCTGGATACTTTTATGTAATTATTAGACAGCGGATCTCTATGGAAAATAAAACCTGGCTCCATCGATTTTAAGACACGAAAGCAACAGAGAACCTCTGACCTTTCTTCGGCGATTTCAATAAGATATATATATAAATAAATACATCGGTATTTTTTTAATCTTTTCACTGTTTCAACACTAAACCTGCCGAGCACTAAAAGCGAGTAATATACAATAATGTAGGCTTAAAGTGAGAAATTTGAGCAATTACAGTAATGTCTCTCTAATTGACGCTCAGATTGCTCAAGGAGATACGATTATTCGAGCATTTTGACTCGTTTTTTTATAGTTACGAGTCGTCAACAACTATGAAAAACGAGCTACAAGGCTCGAATAATCGTATCTTCTCTTCCCAAATTGTCCATTTTTGTGGGCAATCTGAGCGTCAATTAGGAAGACATATATGAGCCGTTTATATTGAAAGTGGCATAAGTCACTTTGTTTTGAAGTCGGGATATTTAAGGGTTTGCGTTTTAACACGTTTAAAAATATGGATGCTAACTTCCGAGAAAATTTACTTGTATTTGTTATCTCAGGATACTGATATTTTTCTCGGTATAAATAATTTCGTATAAACATTAAAAAATCACCACTTTTCATTACGGTGAAGTGACTTACGCCACTTTCAAAAGAAATAGTTTAGAAAAATGACTGACATATATTAATTTTGTCCGACGTATTTTACTGAAGTGATGTTCTGAAAGGACAGCGATTTACTAAAATTGTTGAATAAATTACATATATGAGCCGTTTATTTTGAAAGTGGCATAAGTCACTTTTTTTTTTAAATGAAAAGATACCGTTCAATCGTAATTAGTGTTACCATTAACTCGATATTTTTGAAAAAGTGACTTATGCCACTTTCAAAATTAACGGCTCAATATGTATTTAGTTTCGCTTGTAATCATTAGACTGAATTTGAACTTGAGGGCTCAGAAAAACTAAACTGAAAAATATCGACTGTCCTCTTGACTGATTCGGGTCTCTTATTTATATTACGTCCCCCAAAAAGGCCACGCCTGTTTTGGGGGACTCGCTGTCTTCTTTTACCCCCGTTTAGTTTGGCGGGGGAGACAGCCATCGATGAACCCTCGCTGTAGGGGCGCGCTGGCCGTTCGGCCAGGCAGCGGTACGCGGCCGGCGGCTTTCTCCGCGACCAGGCATGCAGTACATCTGGCAGTGATAAAAAATAAAGAGACAAAGGATTTTCCGGTTCTTGCAAACGTCAAGGACGTTTTCTCTCCGTCGACCCCCTGACATCTGCAAGCGGACAGTTTTATGGTTATTACGGTCGCCGATCGTGTGCCGCTACAAACTCCTAAGAAATCGATGATCTGTGATTCATTTTCACCGGGTTATGTTTTCTTCATTTCTACCATGCGTGTAACGCGTCGCTCGCAAGCGTCGTTCGCAATATTTTGAAGAAACGATTGAGAATATTTAATCTTAGCTTCTGAGAAGACGATCTCAGAACGATCGCGTTCCAACGAAACAGTATTTAAAACGTACCCGTTTATTGCCTGTTACAGTTTGGACAGAGATCAGCCGTTCACATTCCAGCTGGGAGTTGGCCAAGTTATTAAAGGCTGGGACCAGGGTTTGGTTGATATGTGCGTGGGCGAAAAGAGGAAGTTGACCATACCACCGGAACTCGGATACGGAGAGAAGGGAGCCGGAAACGTAATTCCAGGAGGTTAGATTGCTTTTTCTCTCGCCATACTGGACTGCGGATTTTATGCATTTACGATCGAAATGAGCACGCGAGAAAGAAAACAGTTGAAACACATTGCGACAATTCGAGAACGCACTTATCTCAATTATTGAAGGCAATAATAAGTTTCTCTTTGATCTCTGGTTCTCGCAATTCATCAGAAAATCGTTATTTTGCCCGATCTTATGTTGCCTAAAGATTCGTAGTCTGGTTGATAACACGGAAAAACATTTTCCTACCGTTGCTTCAGCGCGATTCAATTTTAACGTCTTCGAACGGAAGAAGAGTGTAGAGACAAGATCTCTCAGTTTCGTATTTTTCTTTCATCGGAGAAATGCCAAGAATCGTGACGAGCAAAAATCTCGATGGCCGATATTGGAGTCGCGCGAGAAACAGAATTTACCGGCGGATCTTAATTAAGCGGAGGTAAAATTCATCTTGTGCGAGGTGCCGAGATTTTCCTGAAGCGTTTCTGCGACGAAGAATGTAAGAAAAACATGACGGTGCCGGAAGGGAACGCTGCTATTTATAGAGGAAACAGGCAGCCCTTCTGTACGGTTGTCCCTTTACATTTAATTTTCCACGGAGAGACATCGCGATAAGTACGAAATGAAATTTTTCAACACTCGATCGAGAGAAACTCGGTCCCGGAAACTCGACGTTATTGTCACGATCGAATATCGACGCGCGATTTCTACGACGTTTCTGTAAATAAACGTGCACGGTGTTGCGCGAACACCTTATCCAAATTAACTGCATTGATCTTATTTAAATGAACATCCCTCGGGACTGTTCAAAACTCGCGACGACAGCGATTTAATTACGATTATCAAAAGCATCGATTGCACTTCACCGGCTGAAGTTACGAACATACTTTCGTACAAGATCTAAACTTTATGCGTACAACCGGGTATCCATGCACTCATTTTTAATTTTCCTTTACTAATTTATAGCAATTATTGGCACGATATCGCAAAATTGCACCTTATCGCCATTCTCTGTGCACTTACATCGTGTAATGTAATCGAGCTTCAAATATTGTGGACATTTTGCTCAATATCACTCCTTGTTTCAAAACTAGAATGAAAAAGAAGCAATCGATAATTTCATTGATAAAAAAAAGCATTGTTATCTCTAAATTCTGACAGAAAACTGTGTCCAAGAATAACGTTCAAAATAGCTGCGAGTGCAAAAGGTACGAAGCTGCCGGAGGAAACGAACAGAAACCGTTCCCGCGAGCATTTTGATTCGAAAAATAAGAGAACGATGCAGAAAAATAAGTGCAGAGGGAAAAAATGTGATCGGTTTCCGCGCCGATTACGAAACTGTTCTCAATCATTATCGAATCCGTTTATCGGCTGCCAAATGTATTCTTGCCGCGGAACAATGGCCGTCGGGGACAAAGCCAGAGAGAACGGTCTGTATAAAAAGGGGAACACTTTCCGCCAAAGATATACGCGGCTCGCGGCACCGCGGGAAGCTCGCGATTTATCTGACACGCGAGCTTCCGAAAAAATGAGCGCGAGCGCGCCGGAGCCGATGTTGATCCGGCCGAGAGCCGACTCCGGATAGCAGTGCTCAATTTAATGGTTGACGGTTTATTGGATTTCCGTGCAATTGCATTTTTTTCTTCGGCCCCGATTTTGTTACTAACGATCCCTTTTGTATCGATCCGGCCTGCTAGCTTCGCTCGTTTCCCCATTGGGAGCCATTGAAATCCGCGAATCATTCCGGAGGAGTAAGTAAAAGCGCTGTCGAATTCTATTAAACAGTTGCGCGACTAACGAACTTTATTGGACACTTTGCTCCAAGCTCGATTGTCGTACGACCTCCAGCGATTCTTATTTACAGTTCTTATATAACTCGCATTAATATTTCCGGATGTATTCTGCTATTTTTTATCATAGTAATTCAATCTCTTTCAAATTAGCGTCCTGGATTTCGCAGCATCCTGTTAGTAATGTCAGTATTTTATTCCACCGCTAATCTAAAAAAACGAAATTTTGACGAGAAAAAAACAAATAAAATAATCAGAGTGTCCCAAAATTATGGTATTTGCGGCAAATGAGGGGTTCCTGAGATCATTTGAAGCAACTTTTTCCTTAGCGAAAATATTCTACGAGGCTTCGTTCACGAGTTATTAACGAAAAACAGTGACCAATGAGAGGCTGTCTCTTATACACATCTCGAGTTATTAACGAAAAACAGTGACCAATGAGAGGCTGTCTCTTATACACATCTCGAGTTATTAACGAAAAACAGTGACCAATGAGAGGCTGTCTCTTATACACATCTCGAGTTATTAACGAAAAACAGTGACCAATGAGAGGCTGTCTCTTATACACATCTCGAGTTATTAACGAAAAACAGTGACCAATGAGAGGCTGTCTCTTATACACATCTCGAGTTATTAACGAAAAACAGTGACCAATGAGAGGCTGTCTCTTATACACATCTCGAGTTATTAACGAAAAACAGTGACCAATGAGAGGCTGTCTCTTATACACATCTCGAGTTATTAACGAAAAACAGTGACCAATGAGAGGCTGTCTCTTATACACATCTCGAGTTATTAACGAAAAACAGTGACCAATGAGAGGCTGTCTCTTATACACATCTCGAGTTATTAACGAAAAACAGTGACCAATGAGAGGCTGTCTCTTATACACATCTCGAGTTATTAACGAAAAACAGTGACCAATGAGAGGCTGTCTCTTATACACATCTCGAGTTATTAACGAAAAACAGTGACCAATGAGAGGCTGTCTCTTATACACATCTCGAGTTATTAACGAAAAACAGTGACCAATGAGAGGCTGTCTCTTATACACATCTCGAGTTATTAACGAAAAACAGTGACCAATGAGAGGCTGTCTCTTATACACATCTTCTTATTGGTCGCTGTTTTTCGTCGATAACTCGTAAACGAAGCAGCGGATCACATTTTCGCTAAGGAAAAAGTTACTTTAAAAGATCTCAGGAATCCCTCATTTTCTGGAAATACCATAATTTTGGGACACCCTGTATGTTTCAAAGGACACTTGGTGCTATGAATTTAAAAACTCTTTAAAAGAATTTAAAGAATTAGTTAAAATTGTTTGAAACCGATTCGTTAGGGCCTGGAGGCTGGCTTCAGGATCGACGGGAAGAAGAGCAACGTTTTTTCGTCACAGTGAGAAATATTTCATGGCGTCTGTAGGTCGGAATGCCGTGTCTGCGGTTCTTTGTTGCGGAAGAACGTCTAATGAGAAGTTACAATGTTCGAGGGCCGTGCTGCGTGAGCCGGGCTAAATGCGGTTTATGCGTTTCACGGTTAATTAACTTCTTTACCGGGCAAAAGACGAGTTCGCTGGTTACTTTCGCAAAAATGTAATTCGCGTAGCGATGTTTACCATTCCGGTGCGATATTCGACGAAGTTGGTTAGTTCGTCTTGGCGGAATTTTCTGGTGTTTCTGTCTCGCAGATCGCGTTGTTTAAACATAATATACCGTCGCTGCATATTCATGAAGCCAAGAAACGAATTTTTAGCTAACACGACTCCACGGTTCTTTTAACATGAAAAATTGCGATTGGAAGCGACTGCATAGTGCGATGCACTAAAATACTTTTTAATCGTGAACAGTTCGTAGTGGTCTAGGGTCATAGGGGCGAAATTTTCTGTCGGTCGGTGATCGAGTTTTTAGAATTTGCTGATCCAGTTTAGCACTGCGAATTCGATGATACGCGTCAATGCAACGTGCTTGCCGGAATTTCGTTACCGAATTCCCTGACGTTCATTGATCGATTTGTAGGACGCAGCGTTTCGAAATAGTGCAATGATTCGATTCTTCGTGGCCATTAGCCGCCAGTAGCGAATTTCTAAATAACAAGTGCACAATAGCAACCCGGTTGCGTCGATTTTGCAGGGGAAATTATTGAGCGTTTATTCGGTGCACTCAAATCGACATGTGAGGCATTCAAAACGAATGCATTAAAGATGATGAAATATCTTTGCACTTCGAATTCATTCTATCCACCTTTATCAGAAATTCGTCAAATTCGCGTTCAGCTGAACAAGAGCTAATTCCTCAATTAACAGGTTAACAAAAACTTCGTATATATGGTCGGGATAACCTTATCAATTCCACCGTCTGAGCCCGGAAGATAAAACTCGGGCCGCAGCGATTCGTTAATTCGGAAAATTTCGTTCCTGAATCGACAATAGAATAATTAATTTGCCCATTATTTCGCAGCTTCCCGGGCTTCCTATCGCGTTAATTGGTATCTAGACGCTATAATGGCCGGGGCAGTCCCTTCCCGGTAGAACGCGGAGCGTAAATAACGAGGAAACAGAGGATGGAAAGCATTTCAAGTCGCGGGGATCGGGATCGAAAATGAAAAGGTTTGCCTCGGATAGCGCGGCGGGGGAGAGGCGGCAGAGGAAGGAAATTGCGGACAAAGAAAAACGAATTTGATTCCATCTGTCGTCGATGTTGCTGCGGTCACCGAGAACGAGAACGAGAAACTTTCCCGGTGGGACGCGGCGTTTATCGCGCACGATCGTTCGATTTTCCCCGGCTAGAACGAGATTCGTCGTCGAACTCAAAAACACACCTCGCTTCGTTAATGGCGTTTCTATAAGTAATGAATTATTGGCCGGCATATTTCATTAGGGCCGGCTTAATCGCTGCGGGACCTCCATAATGGATATCGAATGCAAGACCATGCGCGCGATTGTGAATCAAACGCGCAGTTTACGAGCTGCAACCGGTACGATCTGAACGATCTAAACGCCAACATCGATGCCGCAGAAAATCGCTCGTTTTCCAGCGTTTATTAACCCTTAGCGCTTCACGCGTTTCTCGAGTACTACCTACCAACAAATCCGGCACATTTTTGGAGCGGAGCGCCTGAGATAAAGGAAGTCTTATTTCCAGCGGAAGAGATTACACGTCCTTGCGAATGCATTTGATTTTATTTATTGTATAAATATACATTTTCCTATTGTAAATAAAACATAAATCAGCACCAATCTTTTGAACTTCAGCAGAAAATATGAAAGCCATGCAGCAAGAATTTCATCTTTATTAGAAACTTTGGGAATCAATTTAATTCTCAATTTAAAGCGCGTTCGGGACATTGTGCAGTGGTTTTTCAATAATTGTTGCAACGGAAATATGATTAACGACGTAACTTGTGCTGATTTTGCACATTTTTGGAGCGGAGCGCCTGAGATACAGAAAATCTTATTTTCAGCGGAAAAGATTACACATCCTTGTGAATGCATTTGATTTTATTTATTCTATAAATATACATTTTCCTATTGTGAATAAAAGATAAATTTTTAATTTTGTAACTCACCATGGTGTGATATCTTTGGTAACAATCTCCCATGTGCATTCTGGATTTACTTGGACAAGTGTCACAGTATTCACTTTGCCAAATAGAGTTACTAGATATTTCTTTCAAGTTTAGAACATTTTCTGCGTAATTGTTGGTTTCCTTTATAATTTCATTTACCAATTCGTCCGTGAAAAATAATTTTAAATATTGTATCGGCTGTTCGATGTTTGTAGGAACTTGTGGTCCAATGACCTGTGACAATACACTAAGAGGTATTCTATCTGGAATATGTAATTCTTCCGTAACATCGTGCCATTCATCTAAGTCTTGTAACGAATCTTCGCTTTCGCTTTCAATAATTCTCATTCTTCGTCTCTTTGGTAGTATAATTTCGCTATTACTACTCGAAGTGTCAGAATCATAATCAACATTGTTTTCTCCATGTTGCTAATCATAGAAAAGGTCAAAAAATGGTTTAACCCCTTAACGTGCACGCTCGGGTTAACTCGAGCGCGCTAAACTGGCCAAACTGTGCACACTCGAGATAATTCGAGCGGCGTTGTACTTTATGTTGCTATAATTTTTCACACTCGAATGCAATCGAGAATTGAAAATAACAATATGAAAGCAAAAAAAAAATCGTTTTATTGATATTTATCATTTACATGGGATTGTGAACTATATAACACTTACTTATTCAAGTATAAAATATATCCTTTTTGTACTTATCACTTACGACTTATCTGTTCCTTGTGAGCCGCTCTCCGACAGCGTATTCATATTCAGATTCTGATTCGCTCATTTTTCAATACATATTTTACTAAAATATAATGTAAAGTAAAATATAATAACAATAATAATAATAATAATAGTAATATTCTGAAAATTAGAATTGCAATAAAAATTTTAATTATTTTTGTATTTTTGTAATTTTCTTGCCAAGACAACGTTCTAAATTGTGTTTTTTTACATTGAAAAAAATTGATCTTTTTTGGCCGGTCTTTTTCAAATAAACTGTGCATTAAGGGGTTAATCGTAATGGTACAGACCTGGCACGTTTTAACTACAGATAACAATTGCTAAAGCCGACGATAACGTATGCTAAAAACATTTGGCTCTGCAGCGAAGCCTTCGGAGTTACGGAACAAATGACAAATGTCTCCGTAGTGGAGCCTTCGGAGCGCTAAGGGTTAAACGGTGTTTCGCATTTAGAATCGTAGAAATTAATTTCACAATAACCGCGGTTTTCTGTTCACGCATTTCCCTTACCGATTCATCTGTTTATTTATCCAGTGAGGGAATTTCTAGTTCTCGTGCGTCAAAGATTGCCTGCACCAGAAGCGAAACGTGCAGCGAAGCGATAACAATTCCATGAATTAGAAACAGGAGATTTTGGCAGATTTGTCGTTCGTTGTTCGTTTCTAGAGAATGGGCTCTGATTGGTAGTAAATGTCAGCGACAAGAGGTCCGTCATACGTCATCGATACAGGAGCTCGGCGTTGTGGACATGTTTTTCACGGGGTCAGAGAGGGTGCACGGCTCGTTGGGAGTCGACGGGTAAATAATAGAAAAGCCGCGGCAATCGTCTTTCGTCAGCGCTGACAGAGATGTATTGGATTTTTATTGGTTTTGAGCAATCAATGCGGTCGTTGCGTGTCGTTCGATCTCCGGATTGGCGAAACATGATAGGAAATCAGAGACATTTGAAGAACATTTCTTCCGTCTCCCTCGGTTATTCGCGTTCCGATATTCTCTGCATAATGTATCGCTGACATTAGTCACGAATACGAGACTGTTTATTACCTGTTTACAGTAATGTCTTCCTTACTGACGTTCAGATTGTCCACAAAAATGGACAATTTGGGAAGAGGAGATACGATTATCCGATCCTTGCGGCTCGTTTTTATAATTGTTGACAATTTATAACTATGAAAACAAACCGCAAGGCTGGAATAATCGTATCTCTTCTTCCCAAATTGTCCATTTTTATGGACAATCTGGGCATCAATTAGAGAGACATTACTGTATTTGTAAAATAAAACGAAAAGCGAGACAGCTTACAAAATCAGTATCTCGTATTTCAACCACCCGGTAACACCATTTTTCGATTCTTTGTCAACTTTCGTCGTCGAGTAATGTAAACCACTGTTTGAATTTGATAAGTTCAAAATGTTCGCGTACATTCATACATCGATATATCCATGTAAATTGATTTTATCATTTTGAAAGAAGTTCGATAAACATCGGAGATAGTACATATGAGAGAACAGATTGTATAACTTCTAAAGCAAACTGGATGCAATTTATCGTGAACTGAAAATCGCAAAGCTCCTTTGTCGATGTAATCACGATTAATTGCTCCATAAAATTCCCGGTCATTTTTACCAAGTTCGATGTTTGCCTTTACAGAAATTGTTTCAACGAACGACTCGTTTCGTTCCGCTTCCCTCGCGACTCGTAAAAACAATTTGATCAGGTTCGTCGAAGTGAAATCAAATATCCGCTTTGGCGTGCACGGATTATTTTAAGTGGTAGAAAGTTGAAAGAAAGTTAACGATTGTTGGACACCGGTCGATTATTCGCGGGTCGGGTTAATTTTTAGTCGACGGACGACTCGATTATCACAGCATTTCACGGTGGACTGGATATAAGCGGAATAAAAAATAGCGAGGATCGCGGCGAGTAATTAGCGAGTAATGCGCGCAATATACAATAATTGTTTAATTCACCGTTTTATTTCGCGATATCACTCGAAATGCCAGAGTCGGAATCAGGTAATTACAAAGTTTCCTCTTGAAGAGTTTTGTATCCGAGCGTTAAATTTTAGATTGGCTCGAAATGCGGAATTACGGGAACGAGGGTGCGCGGTCTGTTTCGTTTAACCGGCAGAAATAACGCAGGTACTTATTAATCGGATATTTCTGATTCCAGGTGCAACGTTGTTGTTCGAGGTTGAACTGATCAACATCAGCGACACTCCGCCGTCGGCCAACGTGTTCAAGGAGATAGACAGCGACCGCGACAACCAATTGTCCCGCGAGGAGGTGAGAGCAATGGCAAGATCATTTTGAATTTTTTCTCTAGGGGTCACTCGTGGTGACGGTGCTAGACCAGTTGTGTTTAACCAAAATTAACTAGATTCGAAATATTTCTGGTCCGACAATTCTGTAACTACATTCTCAACGTTCAAATTAACAAAGTAGGTACACACCGCATGCATTATTCGTAGCACAGTTTTGCGACGCATGGTAACTCTACTAACGAGCAATTATTTTTAATTACCATCCGTAAGAACCGCGAGATACGAAATTAGTTGAAGTTGTTTCGAATTTCGGTGCAATTTTAAAAAGTCAAACTTTCGCCGGTAAATTGAAATATTAATTTGTAATTTTGACCAACCGCCAGGATCATTTTATGAAACATCGTTTCACCGTTAGCCATAAAACCACCGTACCATAAAACGTAACGATAAAAATGAAACGTTGAATATCAAATATTCGAATCAATATTCGTTCGATATCAAATATCGAATCGGCGTTTCATTAACAGGCTACTTGGCTCGTTCGTTTCGTTCGATCGGTAGGAAACTTGTTTTCGAACAAATCCAAGTGCAGACCGATCATACCGTTGCCGGCTGACAGGCTTATCTCCGCGCGCAAGTACAAAGGATTAACGTCTGCGCATTTTGCACATGGGAGGGGAAGGCTTACAGCACTCGAAACGTTTATTTTTTTATTTTTTTTTTTTGTGTTAAACTGCAGCGAACAGCGAAATTACGTTTTATTTTCTGGCCCTGTCGCACGGAGCGATACATTTGTTTCAATCACAGTGACGCGCTCGGAACTTAACTGATTCCTATCTGCGAACGCGAACTGTTGAAATCAATTCGCGCGAAACATTGCAGCACGTAGCTATTGGCGAGTGCGACAGGCACAACTGGTATCGTATAATCAATATAGTGCGATGTAAAAATCGTCCGCATTAATCGCAACACAGGAAAGTTACGTAAACAGCTTTTTTTAATTTATCACATATTTTTACTGTTTTACATTCTAATCATTTTTTGCTATAAATACAGCAAGTGTACAATATTCGAGGATATTCAAAATTCATTAAAATATGATGTCTTTTAAATTCGCATCGATATTTTTATTATTTTTCCATTTTAACGCTTCCGCGACCGCGCTAGAAACCTCAAAAATTTTCATAAAATTAAAATATTTCATTCGATTAAACAAAAATTATGAAGCAAACTTATATGGCATCGATTACTTCTTCAGCATTCGTACCTCTTGCAAATCTTAATAAAATTAAGCGATCATTTTTAATTTTTCATTAATTATCAATTCGGTCGTCAATCGACTGAATTTAATCCTTTGCACTCGAAGTCAATTACTCAATTACTCCTTCAGCATTCGTACCTCTTGCAAATCTTAATAAAATTAAGCGATCATTTTTAATTTTTCATTAATTATCAATTCGGTCGTCAATCAACTGAATTTAACCCTTTGCACTCGAAGCCAAATTAACGCAAAATTTAATATAGTTTTTCTGACCCATGGTATTTCCATTTTATATAACTTAATGCATTTTGATCGTATGAAATTGAATTTTGTGACTCGTGCAACAGTTACGCTTTCGACAGTTCTTTAAATAACAAACAAATTTGATTAATAAAATCATTTTGAAACGTGACGTAACAGTTTTTATTGGTGCCTCGGGGTCGCCAGTCGAGTGCAAAGGGTTAAAACGGGGAGACCTCCCCGTTCGATTGTCTAAGTGTTAATTGTACCTCCGTTTCTGTTTAACATCGATTACCAGGACAATGCTAGAATATTTATTTAACATTGTTACTTGACATCGATCGCAGCTGGATAAAACCTTCCCGGTTTTAATATTTACGATAATTAACAGAAGCCTAGCTACGATCAGACAATTCTTTGCACTCGCATATAACCTATCTCATAAATCTGAAATTCGTTGTTCATCGATCGAATTGACAATTCATACATTATTCTTCGCGATTAGCACGAAGTCGATACTCAAGATCGAGCCTGAAACGAACCGAATAGTTTTTCCAAAATGTTCTCGCGTTCAGAAAGTAATTTTCCACATCGACACAAATCCAGAGAAAATAATCGACGCCGTGTTTACCGTGCGCAGGTGAGCGAGTACCTGAGGAAGCAGATGATCGAGGCGGACCAGGGTAGCGCGGGCGACAACGACCAAGTGAAGAAGATCCTGGCGGACCACGACAAGCTGGTCGAGGAGATCTTCCAGCACGAGGACAAGGACAAGAACGGTTTCATCTCGCACGACGAGTTTACCGGGCCGAAGCACGACGAGCTCTGAAGTCATCGTGCCGCGTCGCCGCGTCTCCGAGCACCGCGTCGCCCGCGCCCACGCCCGCGCCCGCACCGCCGTCGGCGTTGTGTCTCGTGCCACCACGTGTTCACCAACCCGCGGAATCGCTTGGTCGAGTCCCATCCGGCCCGTGTCTACCACTGAAGAACAGGAACCATGGTGTGTGCCGATCGATCCGCGCTCGTCCGCGGGTCCTCTCGACCGTCGACCGCTCGTCCGCCCGCCTCGAGGCCCTTCGACGCGTCCGCTTCGCGCGAGCTGCCAACGGAGGAGCGACCAAGGGTCGCGGACGGACCTCCCCCTCGCCGGGAATTTGATCTCGCGACGCTGCTCGGACACTGCCTGGGCCTTGACCGGGACGAATGAGTGCGTCGCAAAGTGTCCGGAAGCTTCGTCCTCGCCTGGAAGCCGTCTTCCTCTCGCCGGGAGCTCGGCGCGTCGCCCTCGGGGGCCTAGGAGGACCTGGAAGGACCTAGAAGGACCTAAAAGGACCTAAGAGGACCTAGGACCAGGCGCCATCGCAGACAGGCAGAGCCGTCGCGTTCTTCCATTGCCGAGGGTGCTGGCTGCGAGGCGACCCGAAGAGGAGAAATTCCCGGTCGAGGGGCAAAATGTCACGCGTGAAGGCGGAATCGACTTGTCGAGGATCGATCGCGCGATCGATCCGCGCGGGTGGTTCTCGGGTCTGTGGTTTCCGGCCGCGGAAGCGTTTCCTCCGAAGCTCGGGCGGGACATTGGTGGGACAGCGCGCGACGAGCCGAGCGATCGAGATCCTGGCGCGAAGCGAGGCACTTCTACGCCTATCATAATTATAACAAATATATAGATAGAAAGAGACAATGGGAGAGAATTTATGAGAGGAGCTGAGAGAAAGGGTGGGAGAGAAAGAGGAACCGAGAGAAAGAGTGGTTTTTCTACACGACTATAGAGGTTAGCATTAATTAAGCGCATCGGCGTAACGGTGCTAAATGAATCACACGCGAAACGATTATTGTCCCCTCTCTCGAAAGCTTTCCGATCGTTCAATACCCCCGTCCCCTTGTCACCCGCCCTCCCCCGCCTCTGCCTCGATACCCTCCCCCTTCTCGACCCCTCCCGTCACTGTACACAAGCCTGACACATCCCTTAACCGCGATCATCGGACCGTTCCGTTCCCTGTTCCCATTTTTTATCCGAGATCACCGGCGTTATTACTCGGCCACGAAGATATCGCGCGCGGAAGACGTACGTGCACGTCGGGACTGGAGGTCCGCGAGCCAGGAAGGTGCAAAAGCCGGATGCAAACGCGTGGCGGAGATGAACGGCGGTCGCATAAATTGTACACGACGCTATCTTTTTTCTCCAACGATCGTCGCGCTATCATTATTACACTTTTAACTGATACGTTTTTATTACTACATTATATTGTATGTTGTTAAAGTTGGACGAAGGTTAATAATAAATCGTGTGTCTCGAGCACAGTTTGTTATACGCCGTGTACTTGTTTTTCATTCCACAGCGACTCGAACCCCTCTCACGTCCCGTTAAAACCCAGTCGTCGACGTCCCTGCTTCAACCTGAGAAGAATGGACCACCGCGACCGGTCGGTTCCCTTTTCTTCGGAGAAATTGTTCCGCGGCGACTTTCGCGTGTTCCGTGCGCGGTCCGCGCGACGTCCACAAAGACGTTTCTACCCGTAGATCGTCACCAGGTTATCGTGCCTCATCGTGGTGGCTCCACTCGTCCGATCATTTGCCACTGCTGTTTCAACTCTGCGCGGCCATCCAGCGTCATCGTTCTACCCGCGCGCACGGACAGAGTTTACATTTTACTTGTGCGACGACAATCCATTTTCAGTCCAATTGTCCGGATGCGGAGCACTATTCCACCGAGCGCTCCATTCTACTACCCGAATGTACAGCGTAGTTGCTCTACTTTTCTAATTGTAGCCTCTATACCGCTTGCAACAACTGGATCCATGGTTCTCTCGTTCAACTCGAGTATCCTCGTACCGCACACGTCTGCCTAGACTTGCTTTAAAACCACTCGTCCGATCGTAACTATCCTCGTTCTACGTATCGCGGTCCTTGGAACTGTTGGACGTTCATACGTTTCTTGCCTGATCTTATCACCGTTCTACTACTTGCCTGCTTATGGCCCCTCCTGTTCCATTTGTTCGATCGTTAGTCATCCTCGTACCACTTGCCTGCCTATATGGCTTACTTGTTCTACTTGACTGATCGCCAGGCATTCGTATCTTTCTTGTCTGACCGTGCCGCTTCTATACTACATGCTCGGAGATTATGGTTCCTCGTCTGTTCATACGGTGTAGAGTAAATTCTCTCCAATTGTCCCTCAGCTCGCAAGCAAAAATGGACTATTTGGAAAGAGGAGATACGATTATTCCTGCCTCGCGACTCGTTTTTATTATATTATTTATATATAAATTATATTATATATATTATTATCTTATATGTTATTATATTAATTATATATATTATTATATTGGTTTTATTATATTATTTACATATAAATTATATTATATATAATTATCTTATGTGTTATTATATTAGTTATATATATTATTATATTAAGTTTTATCATATTAAAGAAGCCACGAGGCTCAAATAATCGTATCTCCCCTTCCGAAGTTCTCCATTTCTGTTTAGAGGCTGAGGAACAATTGGTGAGAATTCACTGTATTTCTTTAACTTGACCGCTCGCAGTCACTATACAGGGTGTCCCAAAAATGTCTCGCAATACGGAAATTTGGGGTAGCTGAGGTCGTTCTAAGTAACTTTTTCCTTTTCGAAAATGCAATCTGCGGCTTTGTTTACGAGTTATTAACGAAAAACGCTGACCAATGAGAGACGAGGGCGCGAAGTTCGAGAGTGAATAGTCGTAAATCGCGAGGCTCGAATAATTGTATTTCCCCCCTTCCGACATTCTCCATTTCTGTTTACAAGCTGAGGAACAATTGGTGAGAATTCACTGTATTTATTTAACTTGACCGCTCGCGCGCGCGAAGTCACTATATTATTTCCCTCATCATAAATTCATTTTTCACAATGTACGACTATCTTGATTCCAGCTGCATGAACAACGATCACCCTCGTTCTACCGTCATTTGACTCGTTCGATTACAAGCCATCCTTATCCTAATTATTTCAACCGCCATAATTCTGCTTTTTGCTCGTCGCAACGAAATAAACGTTATCTCTATAAATCTTACCTTGTGTTTTCCAATACTCCGAAGCTTCTGGCACGACAGCCCGCTCTGCGAATAGAAGAAGAGGGAACGGAAGATGGAACGGGTGCGTAGACACGGGAGCAGAATCGAAACGGTGCAGGTTTTTTGCTGCTCGCAATTTTATTTCAATTCATTTCCACAGTAAATTACAATGATTGCGCGTACACGGTGGCGCCACGTTGCACGGATAATAAGGTGATGATTAAGTTAATTAAGTGGCTCCTCTCTCTCTCGCGTCGAACAAATCACACCGTTCCGCGTTCTTCTTCGAACTACCTCGCGTAATCGACGAGCATCGTTCGTCGCAAGCTCGGGCTTCTCTCTTTTACATCGTACGGAGAATACGATCTCGCAGGTAAGAAGTTTATCCGCCGCGAAATTACTTGGTAAGCGACGTCACGAGACGTTTCTTTCTTGTCGTTAACGTTACGGGTCATCAAAATAGTTTATTAGAATAGTTTAGAAGTTCATTCGAGGCACACGTTGATACGATCGTCTGGTCCTCGCCCCTGTCGTTCGAACTTTCTAGCGGCCGCCTAGCACAATGGCTACCTACTGTTCGGTCTGGAACCGTCTGCCATTGTCCGCTACAGATTCCAGCGCGTTTCGTGCCACGTCAGACACCGCTGGTTTATAATTACGCGTATGAACTACGACCGTTTTCTTGACCGTCGAATTCGAGTAAAACAACCTGTGGAGATAACTCGAGGTTCGCGCAAGTTTGCATATATCTGCGGAATCATTCTGTAGAACATTGTTTTCTTCGCTCTCGGTTAACACGTTCCGTGCCGAGCTTTTTTTACTCGAATCTTCACACTTTGATATTTTACTAAAACTTGATGTATTACGTGCAATTATTAATTCTCGTACACGTAACAACGTAACAAAAACTTATCAACGCCCATTCTTGCGGTGGAAATTGATTCTTCGGTTCTAAATTTCTTGTAAACAATTTGTTCAGTTCACTAAGTAAACATGCAAGCGTGTACCATCGATGGTACACGTGGCACGGAACGTGTTAACTTAGAAATTTAATTACTCCGTATGCTACCGGTTTTTACAACGTTGCGTTAAAAAGATGTAAAAGATGTTAAATGTAACAATTACATTCGAGGAGCATGCTCACCGATCAATTTCAAGAAATAGAAAACTTCTCTCTCGCAAGATCGACGTTGAAATAAGACGTTTCTTAATAATCTATAAAAAGATCTTGATTGAAAAATGAATCATCGAATGTGTCGCGTTACCAGAAACTTTTCCAACACGATCTCAGGATATTCCCCGGCAGTTTCACGCGCTCGTTCGTAACTTTATACCGTGGACGCAAGTGACGGAACAGCGACGAAGGAATAAAGAGCGTCGTTCGGATAAACGAGAAACGAAATCTCATAAAACCGTGGCGCGGGGCGTTCTTAAAGCCTTCTTTACGCTTTTTAATTTCCCGCGTGTGGCGGGAGCCGCCGCGTGGCACGAAACTGCGGCGAAATAAATTGGCTCAGTGTCGCGAACTTTAATAACATTTTCATATCATGCAACATGCAAAGGAAAATTGATTCAAGGCACGCCGGGAAATGTCTCCGCGGTCGTCCCGCGCGAACGTTCGTTCCTGCGAGACTGTCACCGCGGAAGATGCATCCGTAAACTTAATTCACTTCGCGGTTGTTTTCTATTTTTTCATTACTCTCTTTCTCTCTCTCCCTCTCTCTTTCTCTGTTCCGCCAAGAGGAAGATGAAGAGGATATCAGTTTGAAAGTTGTCGCATTCGGTCGCGGGGGCGGAGAACGGTGAGCCGCAAGCACGTTTACGGAGCTCACCGGAAGTCGCGTATATCTCTCGTGAACAAGTCGCCCGACTGATCACTGCGAAATATTTCCTTCATCTGGCAGTGAAACATTTCTTCGCGAATGCTCCGCTATTAAAATATAGTCGGTGTGCCAATAAATGATTCACGTTCTCTTGGTGTGTATTCGGCTTCGATTTGTCGGATAATTAATCGCTAAGTTACCATTTAATATCTTTTAAAATATTAAAAGGAGCTGGATATTTTTCCTTTAAATGATAATTTCGATAGCAGTTATTACATATTATTGAAACTATCTTTACACAAAGTGTAATATATTTATACTGCAGATTTATACTCATTTACGCTCACTTTATTTTCATATTTATTACCGCAGATTTCATGCGGGTTTCCATTTTAGTAGACAGGCTTGACAAAACTGGGATTAAAAGCGATTTTAAAAATAGAACTGTCTTAAATCGTATGGAATTTTGTGTTCCATATATTTTCGATAATACCGTTGATCCATAAAAGTTCTGATAAAAAGATTCGATCCTATCGAATACTACAGATTTTTGGTACCCCGTCAACTTCAAAAATAGGCAGTCACAAAAATATTTTAATTAATCAGCTTCACCGTTCCAGCAAAAACAATAACGAGTGACCTATTGGCACACCACAAGCTGCTTTTTCTATCTGTTAAAAACTAGTTTAGAATCCGAAATGCGTTTACGCACGTTCTCTTGCTAGATTTCACACGGTTCTAGCTTTCATTCGTGAGGTGAGAAGAACGAACGACAGAGCGCGACAAGATCGAAAAATAGAATCGAAAGCCTCGGATCTTCGTCTTCGGCAACGGGTTTGTTAAACATACTATACTTAACGCATAACCTTGGCGTAATCTCCGCGATTCCCCGGTGGTCGCGATACGTTCGTTCGTTTCCGTGGGATCGCGTTATCCTGGCCTTGTCATCAAAGGTTCGATGATCGTGCTACCAATTTGCTCTCTTCTCGTGGACGAGTCACAGGTTTCGAGTTTTATCACAGTCAGTAGCCCTTGATGTAGGCGGCAATGTGCTTCTTCTCCTCTTCTGAGAGGCCGTTCTTCAGCGTTCTACGCACTGTCGAGCAGACAGAATCGATATTTAACGACTGCTTCGGCGAACTGTCGGGTTAAGATGCAGGCATTGGTTAAACATTTTAAACAAATCGCGTACAGAGAAAATATCGGTTACGAACGTTTGCCAATTGTTTCGAAAGATTTCTTTTATCTGGATTATTCACGGGAATATCGAAGATTCGATATTCAAGAAGAATCCTGGAATCACATTTTTGGCAGATTTCGCTTGGGAAATGAACTTCCGACGATCGTTTCGACAAAATTTTAGCGCAGACGCAATTCCACGGTAAAGAAACTTCATTTCGCGTGTGTAATACGGTTTGCACGAACCTCCGCAATTGTTATTACTTAACAGTTTATTTGCCGTGTACTATAAAAGTCGAGTGCAATGTTCTCTGTACACGAAATGTTCAGCAGCCACCTGAAAAATTAAGCAAAGACACGTCACTCGAAGAAAGGCATTCCAGAACAGGCTCGCATGCGATCGAAAGGGGGGGAAAAAATGCCAAACAATGGAAACATAATTACTGGCGCAGTCCTCGGTACAGCCGGGCTAAAATATATTTCTGTTTAAGATCCGATCTGGCCGCGTCTAGCCAAGACACATTGTCCATCAGATACAGACTTAAAGCAGAAGGAGCAGTCGGTAATTAACAGGGATTGTGTGCGTCTGGTTAGAATGTGGCGCAACGTGTAGATCGATAGAAGTGTGTTATACACCGGCAGTCACACCTGTAATTTACCACTGCCTCGGTTCTATGTACATGGCAAATATGCAGCGAGCTATCATTTTGAATCGCGCCCCCGGGAATCAAGGCAAACTTCTTTTGTCGAATTCGCTTGGTCACGCGACTCTCTCTTTCACGCAACTCGCATCCGAAGTAAACGGTCTATAAATCTACGAACTCTAAAATAGCGTGTGAAGATGTACGAAACCACGGTTGAATACTATTTCGAATACTATGTAGAAAATACGCTCCTCCGCAAGGTTGAACGATCATTAAATTTTACGACCAACAAAATAGCCGCTCTTTGAACTACCGTAACTTGATGTAAACAAATCTTACGACATTCTAGTTGCGCTCATTTTGAAGCGCGAAGTATCTAGTTTTATACTTCTCAACTTTCTTTCGAATATCCCTTGCTGTTATAAAACAGTATGAGAAACTATAGTTCTTCCTCTCGTTCAAAGTTTTACAAATTAAGAACTGCTTTAAGCTTGCAACATTTTTGTCTCTAGAATCATGTCAATGTGTTTTTATAAATCGACCGAAATCTTTGGATCATATTTGATGGAACAGAATGACATTCGTAAATAGCAATATTGTCGACTTTTTCCATTATAACTATATCGACATACGTTAAAATATTGAACTCCGATATAGCAGCATAATTACACAATTCTGAATACATCTTCCGTTCTCACTGCAAAAATGAGACCTTTGTACTTCAAATGTATTGTATCAAGAAACTATTAATTAGTAGAAGGAATAAGAAGAAAAATGTTTAAAACATATTACTGAAGCAATTTGGAATACTTATTCTTTCTCCGAATAGCTGGATCATGCGATACAGCGGATAATGTTTTCAATGGTATTCGAAACGTCCCTTACTGTTATAAAACAGTATGAGAAACTATAGTTCTTCCTCGGTCAAAGTTTCACAAATTAAGAATAGCTTTAAGAGCTTGCAACATTTTTGTCCAGAATCATGTCAATGTGATTTTATAAAGGAAAGGAATTTCGGTCATCGACCGAAATCTTTGGATCATATTTGATCGAACAGAATGACATTCGTAAATAGCGATACTGTCGATTTTTCTATTATAACTATATCGACATACGTTAAATTATTAAATTCCGATATAGCAGCATAATTAGACAATGAATACGATATCTTCTGTTCTTACTGCAAAAATGAAACCTTTGTACTTCAAGTGTGATGTATCGAGAAACTATCATATTAATTAACAGAAGGAATAAGAAGAAAAATGGTATTCAATGGTTTTCAATGGTATTCGAAACGTCCCTTACTGTTATAAAACAGTATGAGAAACTATAGTTCTTCCTCGTTCAAAGTTTCACAAATTAAGAATAGCTTTAAGCTTGCAACATTTTTGTCTCTAGAATCATGTCAATGTGATTTTATAAAGGAAAGACTCCTGTTTGCAACGTTCGGTCAAAAGTTGATCCGACAGTATTTGCAAAAACACGTTAATTTGAATAATTTGTTGTGCCCAGAATGATCGATCGAGTCCAAATTGTATCACCGTGCCGTGCAACGTTTATTTTGTCAACGGTGTATAGAACGCAACAAATAAACGGTCCCCGCGTCCATAATTATGAATAGTGGTAGATGGATTTGGAAAATTATCTCGCGCGACCGCGGCCTTTCAAATGTACAATTCCGAGCACAATGCCGATGATGATTATCATCGGAATATTGTTTCGACGACCTTTTGTTCCGAATGAAAGATACATTCCATGATTTGTCGACATTATCGTTTCCTAGCCAAACATAAACAGTATCTGTGCGTAATGGTACGTCTGGATGGTTCGTTCGATCGTAATTAATTAATTAATTAATTAAATTCCGGTATTTCTCTCGGCCCGTGTTCGAGTCGAATTTTCAACGTTGCGCTACACGCAACGAACGTATAGAATTTATAAGCAGACTGAATTGTGCACATGGAATTAGAAGATTAATATTTGTTTCTTCATCCGACAGACTCTACTCTAAGTATTATTGCTTATTGTACCATAAGTTGGGGATCTAGAAGTTATTACTTCGAGTATCTTTCTCTCTCCTTGTCGTCTCCGTGGTGCGCGATACACGTTATATTTCATTTCTATGCAAAAATTAATATTACATTCATTTTATAAACATTTTATAATACATTTTAGCGAGAAAATAAATTCTGATGTCCGCAGTTAAGGATTAATGAAGCATTTATGGAGCCTGGTTCGGTCTCAATCTACTCTGATCTCACCGATCGAATTCCGTTTTATATGTTCTTAGTTTAATTTGTTAGAAAGCGACAGGATAATATTTTTGCAACAGATCATGTTCTTGTGCTGTTGATAAACGCTATTAAAATTGGCATCTCTATACCAGAGCGAAGTTATTAACTGCTGAATTATATGATTTCAAATATACTGTACACCGCTATTCAGACGTCTCATTCGATTAAATTACCGTGTTCGTAATTACGATCGAAATTATACAAGGACCAGCACGATTGAATCGCGGATTAGGAAATATTAATTAATGGCGGCGGAAGTGAAAATTATTCATCTGATATATTCAAAGCTCTCGGCTACAATGAAAAGCAACAAGAACCAAGAGATTCGCTCGTGCCATTACATTATACTTAATGTATTCTAGTAAATACTAGTATACCGTGGTATATATATAAATTCTAGTAAGTACATTTGGGCGCTATTTCAGTTTGCCGCGGGCGGCGCATAGCAATCAACACGGTACCTGAAATGCAATAATATCGTTCGAAAATATTGAAGTACGGCAAGCTCAATTCTCTTTGCTGTTTGTAAAGACGGAAGGAAAATCCAAACACAAAAATTCGGGCTCGGTGGAAAAAAGCAGGTTCGTACAGGGGAAAAAAGGATTTTTGTTTGTGACCGATTTCTTTTATCAACAAAAGGAGTTTCCGGTTGGTCGAGTCTTCCCTTCGAACGAAATAGAAAATCATAAATCCGTTCACAGAATTCGAACAATTCCGTCGCGGTGAGAAATAACAGGGAAGCCGGTGGAATAAAAGACCGAAACGATCCCGAAGCCTCGACGCGGTGCGGCGCGGCGGCCCGGCCAGGCGCCGGGAATCCGGATAAGCTATCGCGTCGACCGCGATCGAATTATTAAAATCGAATTTATCCCGGCCTGTTACCGTACAGGAACCGGTGAACCCACATTGTCTACCGATAATTCGGGTTTCATTATCTACAGCGAACGCAGAATCGACGGAGCCACCGCTAAGAACCAACCGCGACAACGATTCCGAACAGATTTCGACAATTTAATTAATCTCTCGATGCTTAAATCGCAGTGTTCGATTCTAATTTTTAACCTCATGCAAATCATGCGAATATTAAATCAGCACAAGCTGCGTCGTTTATCGTACTTCCGTTGCAACAATTATTGAAAAACCTCTGCATAATGTCCCGAACGCACTTTAAACTTAGACATAATCCTTAGCGCCCCGAAGGCTCCGCTACGGAGACATTTGTCATTTGTTCCGTAACTCCGAAGGCTCCGCTGCGGAGCCAAATGTTTTTAACATACGTTATCGTCGGCGTTAGCAATTGTTATCTGTAGTTGAAACGTGCTAAGTCTGTACCATTACGATTAAATCATTTTTTGACCTTTTCTATGGTTAGCAACAGGGAGAAAAATAAATATTATGATGAGAATTTAGAGCCGAGCGATACCGAAGACGTATTTGATTTTGAAGAGTTAAAAGACATTGTGGAAGGCAATGTTGGTTATGATTCTGACACTTCAAGTAGTAGTAGGGAAATTATACTACCAAAGAGACGAAGAATGAGAATTATTGAAAGTGAAAGCGAAGATTCGTTACAAGACTTAGATGAATGGCGCGATGTTACGGAAGAATTACATATTCCAGATAGAATACCTTTTAGCGTATTGCCACAGGTCGTTGGACCACAAGTTCCTACAAACATCGAACAGCCGATACAATATTTTAAATTATTTCTCACGGACGAATTGGTAAATGAAATTATAAAGGAAGCCAACAATTACGCAGAAAATGTTCTAAACTTGAAAGAAATATCTAGTAATTCTATTTGGCAAAGTGAATACTGTAACACTTGTCCAAGTAAACCCAGAATGCACATGGGAGATTGTTACCAAAGATATCGCACCATGGTGAATTACAAAATTAAAAATTTATCTTTTATTCACGATAGGAAAATGTATATTTATAAAATAAATAAAATCAAATGAATTCGCAAGGACGTGTAA